GGCCAAGGTGCGTGCTTTTGTGGCTGAATGCCAAATCTGCCAGTAGGCCAAGCCTGACCGCAGCAAGCTTCCAGGGTTTCTTCAACTATTGTTAGTGCCTGAACATGCCTGGAAGGTGTTATCTTTGGATTTCGTGGAGGGATTGCCTATGTCTGAAGGGTACAACTGTATTCTGGTGATCGTGGATCTCTTCAGGAAGTATGCCCATTTTCTAAGTCTGTGTCACCCCTTCACCGTTGCTACAGTTGCCAAGCTCTTCATTTCTCAGGTCTATCGCCTTCATGGTATGCCTACTGCCCTGGTCTCTGATCGTGATAAGATTTTCACCAGTGCTCTATGGCGGGAATTGTTCAAGTTGGCCAAGGTCGAGCTTCACATGAGTACTGCCTACCACCCTCAATCAGACGGGCATACCGAGCGGGTCAATCAATGTTTGGAAACCTTCTTGCGTTGCTATGTTCATGCTTGTCCCAAGCAGTGGCATCAGTGGATTGACTTAGCTGAGTTTTGGTACAACACGAGTTGGCATTCGGCACTGGGGCGATCTCCTTTTGAGGTGCTTTATGGATATGCTCCTACACATTTTGGCCTCAGTTCTGTCGATGAGCAGCCTGTTACTGATATTGCTGGGTGGCTGCATGATCGTGAGCTGATGTCTGCACTTATACGGCAGAATTTGCTCCGCGCCAAGCAGCGTATAAAGCATGCTGCTGATCCTCATCGTTCGAAGCGTCAGTTTCAAGTTGATGATTGGGTCTTCCTCAAGCTTCAACCCTATGTGCAAACGTCAATTGCTGATAGAAGCAGTCAGAAGCTCGCTTTCAAGTACTTTGGACCTTACAAGGTGCTGGCATGTGTTGGCTCGGTGGCGTACAAGCTGGAGCTTCCACCTTCCTCTACGATCCATCCCGTATTCCATGTTTCGCAGCTCAAGAAGGCGGTGAGTGCTCGCCACACTGTCACTACAACTCTACCTCTGGTGTCTGCTCAATGGAGTATTCCTGAGCGCATCCTCCAACGCCGTCAGGTGGTGCGTGGTAAGAAATTCATTCAACAGGGTCTTATTAAGTGGTATAACATGCCAGTTTCTTTAGCCACTTGGGAAGACCTGGAGTATCTGCATCAGCGGTTTCCTCGCGCCAATTTGTGGCTGCAATATGGCGCGCAAGAGATGGGGAATGTCAGCACTACATCGGCTGACACCTATCAGGCGCAGAGTTCATATGGGCCAAAGGAAGACAGGCCGAAGAGGCCCATGACGGGCAATCCACGCTACACCGGGCCGGAGTGAACATCCAAGTGATCCAGTGACAGAGGCGTGTGCGCCGCTGCGGCTGAACCGTGTTGAGTGTTTTAATATACAGCCTAGTATCTTCGGAAGAGGGGTATCAGCTATTGTAATGAAACATATCTGCTACTAATAACTCATCGCTATTCCGGTTCCCTTGCTGTGCTTCTTTGCCTGGATTTGGACTCTTCCGTTCTTCTCTATCGGTTGCTAACAGCATCCACTCTCACGGCCCATCTCAAAGCCCCTACCTGATGGCCCAAGAAAGCAGGAACTAGAGCCGATTCCTGCCCAATCCCTCCTTCGATTCCCCGCGATGGTTGCGGCTCGTGACTGCGGGCAGCAGCTAGTGGCTACGCTAGGGCGGCTGACGCTCCCCCACACTGGTGCCGAGCGCCCCTGTATTGCGCTGGGGCTGTTGGCCAGCTGGGCAGGCCCCAGGGCTGGCCGCGACGCCATGCACAGCTGCGTGAAGCCAAGGGCCATCGGCCGAGAACAACAACGAGGTGCCTATTGCCTTAATTTTGGACTATTTGTTACTAGCTGTTAGTATGGATGACTCCGTGACGTGGTGAGCACATCTTCCGTAAATCCTATTGCCTTAATTTAGGATTATTTGTAGTATGATTGTCACAACTTTTCAATTAATATATAGTGCGTACATCCTTCTTGTAGATCCTAGAGTATGCAGAACGAAGAAAAAATTGATAAAGACAATTGGTTAAGCTTACTAGGTATTATCCTAATATTTCTTCTCAACATCATCAGAGAGGAACCGTCTTCTACACTTAAAACGTTTCTCATTAATATTCCTTTGTTGTAATTTCCCTTTATTCTATGGGTATCTTAGATTTGATCAATTTATGCCTTTAGTCATCGGTTTCATCGTGAACTATTTTATATATAGTTTTAGAATGGAACTTTTTTCTTAGCAAATGGGAATAACCAACTTTGAAATCCTGGCTCCGCCCTATTGTGTTTGACGGATTCTATGTAGGAGTTGGAATGTGAGGATGAAGAAGTTGACCGTATATATGGTTCGATCAAAGGTTTCGGGCCTGTTTGTTTTTCTGCCTTGTGTTGGTTATTTACTTTATTTCCTGCAGCAGCCTTTGAACGGCATTTGGAGGGCTTGGTCACGAGGGCACAGTGAAACAGTCTTTGGTGGATGCTTATCAGGTTTGCCGTCTTCGGCTATTTTTGGTTAACTGAGGCGGTTTGATACGTGCATCTTGATTTCTGCTTCCTGATGTTTTGGCAAACTTCCATTTGGCGCAGGACGCCGAGCAGAAAGTTAATGTTGGCCAGTGCCTCAGCTTGGGGAAAAAAAATTCTATACATGCGTGCCGTAGATGATGACCCGTGCAGCACCCCATCACTGCCGTTGATGTGACTTGATGGACGGCTGTTAGTTCGCAGCGTTGCAGGCCACGATCGGCTGCTCATTTGCCGTTTTGAAGTTTTAAGGGCCCGTTCGGCTGGGCTAAAATAGCTGGCTGGGCTGCTTTTGGCTGGGCTCAAGTCCAGCCGAATGGCTGTAAAGCCAGCCTGGGTTTCCTGCCGCGCCCCTCACTCACTCACTCCGAACGGCCGCGTTCTCCTCCCTCCCTCACTCCGTCCCCCGCGCCCCACACGTCTAGGGCTCCCGCCGCGCGGGCCGCCACCGCGGGCGTGAGCTCCGCTTCTCCGTGCCTGCCCCGACGCCGTCGATAGCATCACGTTTGTCGACCTAGCGCCCATCCCCCCCCTTCAACCATTGGCGCGCGATGCTCGTCCGACGGCAACAAGGTACCCCTGGATCTGAGTTCACCTCCCTCCCTCCCCACCTGATCTGACGCCGCCGTCGTCCCCGCCTTCCGGATCCGACGCCGCCGTCGTCCACAACCCCCCCCCCCACCCCCGTCTGGATCTGACCCCCACGTGCTCCTATTGCAGGTGAGCCCGACTGCCGCCAACGGATTCGCCTCTCAGCTCGCCGGAATCGCCTACCTTCTCGCCGGATCTGCCACACTGGCAGCGTCGTCCGCTTCGTCCTGCTCCTCTCCTAAAGGCAGGCACTGCATCCACCGTTCAAAACGAGCGAAGACTTCTAGCAAGGCAAAGTCCCCATCTCTTACACCCTAACTCCCCTGTTTGTCACTCTTACAAGTGCTGCAAATTTTGTTGTATGCTGCATACATCATACCATACATTTTGCACATGGCAACAGATGTCCACTTATGTGTTTTTGGCACAGGTGACCATTGGCGGGCTCCTACTTTGACCGCTAACATGGGGTTTGTAAGAGCTGTGTCACAGTCTGAACATGAAACTATCTGAAGTTTTGGCAATTTTAGTTGTTCTACTCATAGAACGGGTTGCTGCTGCTGCTTGTGGTACAGTTTCTTGCTGAAAGTTGTCATGTTTGTAAAGTTGTCATGTTTTGTGAAGAAGTGTAATTTGAACTGTTGTGTGTACTTTGAACTGTTGTATAATAGCTTGTATGGACCTGTTATGTGTATTGAACTGCTAGTGGACTAGCTTCTAATGGACTGTTAGTAATCCCTAACAAACTGTTATTTGAGCTGTTGTATTGTAATTTGAATGGCTTGTGGTTTGGCGCCATCGGTTGTCTGGATGTGGTGTTGGCGCCATTTTTTTGAAATGAGCAAATGGCAGCTGTTGCTGGAGCTGGTTGACTGGATGTGGTGTTGACGCCATTTTTTTGAAATGAGCTGTTGGCTGGAGCTGGTTGGTTGGCTGGTTATTCCTGTACCAGCTGATTTCCAGCAGCAGCCGTTTGCAGGCTGGTAATACCAGCCGCACAAGGTGTTAGCGGATGGCAACTTCGTCACGTGTGCATGAGGGCGATCTGGATCTCACTACGGGGGTGATGCGGTGCTGCACCCGGCGGCCGCCGTGGCGATGAACACCTCGTTCGGCTGGTTGGCCGGCTAGGGCTGGGTTGGCCAGCACACTCACACGGTCACTGTTCACGTGAACCGTGTTTTCAGACAGAACAGTATTTTTCTCTCACAACGATCAGCCGAAACAATATTTTGACTTATTTTTCAGTCCTGCACAACAGACCCGAAGACGCTGGGATCTAGTAGGATTCCAAAGTGCGGCGCACGGGGAGCTAGGGCGAGGGCAGGACGTGATGAGATTGCGCGTGAAGATTGGGGGCCTCCTTTTTCAGAGGGGCATGAATGAGAAAGCCTCGGAGGGCACGATAGCAGAGGGCTGCGAGGTGAAGTGCCAGCGGGACGTCGGGGCGACGAGAACTTGGCCGCTTTTCAAAAGGCTCAAATGTGGGAGTGTGACATGTGCTTGTATACGTTCCTTGTAGTGGAAAGAAAGCAGCAACTTCTCTTCTTACAAGCAGCATGTGAATATAAGCTCTGCCAAACATTCGACCTAACAGACTGACATACAAATGAACACAGCCAAGATACCAAGTTTTCAAAGGATTAGTGTTTTACTTCAAAGCTTAGTCTGAATTTACAGAAGACCATTCTTAGGTCCATATAATATGTACAGCTAGTTACATAGAAGCATGACCAGTATCAATTATCTAGAATGCATACTGGAATTCAGCTGGGCATCATCTTTATTTACAGCATCCAGACATGCAGCGCTGTTAGAAGTTATCAAGTTAAAAACAATAACAGATCTGGAAATTGACAATTTCTGGATACAAAAACAGAGCTACACAAGTTTAGACTTTAACCTGTCAGGCCCACTTCCGCTTAGACCTCAGCCGCATCAATTTGTCCTTCCATGATGCTGTCGAAGTCAACAGATAAATCAATGAACCTTCCATAGAAGTACCACATCTAGGTTTAAACTAATGATAATTACTCTTCAAGATCAATGTGTTTCTTCAAGATCAATGTGTTTTGTTCCTTTGCAGAACATGGTTGCAAAGTAAAAGAGATGTGATGTTTGTTCAGCATTCAGACAGTTTTGATAAGACAACACTGGGTGGAATCATTGTCAGACGCTCAATGTGGAGTCCTCGATGAACTGAATGAATACATAAGACGAATGGATCATTACCAGCATCCTTGTATCTCTCTTCGACGGCTGCAATGAGCATGTTCCTTACCAATCCAAACTCTTGAGCCTCCACACATGGCTGTCCATCAGGTCTAACAAAAATGCAAGTGTAAGAAAAATTAACATACAGATTCATAGATTGGCATTCTGGATCTTAAATGCACAGAATATACTCGAATATAAGAAACCACTTTGTCAGATATATCAGTGAAAGGTCTAAGGAACACATCGATTCATCAATTAAGGGCAATAAGTTGCAGGGCAGATAACAAGGTAGAAACAATAAGTTGCAGGGCAGATAAACAACAACAAAGCTTCTTAGACCCAAGCAAAGTTGGGGGCAGATCAACAAAAAATATTAAAAAGAAATCCTACAAGTACTGTATAATTCTTACTCGCCTTCTAGAATACCTGTCAAGCTCTGTAAATAACAACCCATCGGATAAGCCAGCTGCTACTGCCATTCTTGCTGGCTCGACTGGTCTGATGCCATCACTGTATGCAAGACTTCTATGGACTTGTACAGGAACCTGTTCTTGCCAAGTGAAACAAGAATGACATAAATATGGAGAATAAAAAAGTTTCACATGTATGCATGACAAATGAACCCACACTACCATCAAATGTTTCTCAAAGATTAAAGCAAAACACAAATAAACAAGAAAATGTGCACACATTTACATGTCACTTTGGAGGACTAAGATAGTAAACATGGACACATTTACCAATCTTCCATGTTTCTTGACAACATTAACTATCTGGTGGACTTGTGACTTGTGAGTGTGGACTAGGATTGTTATTCGTTTTGAAAAGTAAAAAGTGAAAATATATTCAGAAGCATAATCTGACTAGAAAAATCTGAAAGGAGAACCACGTCAACAAAGAGAAAGGGTAGCCACTAATAAAATAAGAGAACTGCTCCCCACAAATAAGCATGTACTGAAACCTTCAATACGAATAATAAAAATCAGAGTACCAAAAAATTTAGCATGTAGCAAGGACATCGACAGCAAATACCTTGCAACGAACAGCAATGTTTATGGCATCTGAAGGCCGAAGATCGAAGGTGATGCTGTCTGTAGGATCATCAATCTGCAGTGCAGGAGGTTACTACTTTAGAATATTAAGGTTATGGTGTACCCACTGAAAAATGCATTAGTTTTCTCTTACAGATTAGTCAACTAGATTTGTACCTTTGTTAGATAAAGTTCAGCACAGTAGGCTTCTTGAATTCTTTTGTTTACCCGAACAAGTTTTACCTGAACCCAAAACCACCATCATGGTAAGAGGAATAAGAAGACAAATTAAGTTAACTTCTCCTTGACCAAGTAAGCATAACTGCTACAAATGCTTACAAATCAAGGTTACCTCATAGCCCATTTTATCAATCATTTCCTTGACAACTTGATATATGGTCGGCCGTGCCTATAACAGAAAGGTGTTATATAGACTACATCAAGCAGAATGGACAGTACAAAACAGTAGTATTAATAACAATAGAAGGTATTACAATGTGGACATTACGAATAGCTGCCATCAGAAGTACGCTTGGCATCTCCACTGAGAAAATTGAGAAGGTAAACATGCATTATGTCAATTAAAAATTCCTACTTCTGAATTACCAAATCGAACTAAAAAATTTACATACAAACAATGATTGGAAGTAAAGTTTCGCTTCCATCTTCAATCCTCAAAACAATAGCAGGTTGGGGTGCACTCTCTAGAATATTTCTCCCTTGAGAATTGTTATGGACACATCGCAAGTTTTTCCCATCTCGCATCTTTATCACATATCCTTCTGATCCACTTCTCACCTCAACTGGAAGAGAAAACCACAAAAACAATTTTTACCTTCGTAACAGGTACTGGGGAGACATCAAAGAGAGAATTCCTTATTTGACACTGGGAAAATGAGTCGTTCCTTTCTTGGCCCTGAAATTTTCTTCGTTCCCTATTTGACACTCACTTCAACTTTCATCCCTAATTTGACACTACCGTCAAATCCGTTAGCTAACGGTGTTAACTGGCTGTTAAAAAGACGTTTTTGCCCCTAGAAAAAAAAGCGGCGAAGCAAATTTGAGAGGAAAAAAAACCTGCGCCTTTTTTTACAGCTGGGCGCATGCATCAGAGGCGGGCGCATGTTTTTTTTTCCTCTCAAATTTGCTTCGCCACTTTTTTTCTAGGGGCAAAAACGTCTTTTTAACAGCCAGTTAACACCGTTAGCTAACGGATTTGACGGTAGTGTCAAATTAGGGATGAAAGTTGAAGTGAGTGTCAAATAGGGAACGAAGAAAATTTCAGGGCCAAGAAAGGAACGACTCATTTTCCCAGTGTCAAATAAGAAATTCTCTCGACATCAAAATACTACTGGTAACTAATTAGTAGATTGACTATCAAATATAGTTTGTTATTCTTTCATCAAAAAATATAGTTTGTTATTCCATCATATAATTCAATTTGTGTCAAGTTCAAACTGTCAACTGTGCAACTTGCATATACTGAAGCAACTAATGTATGGCAGTGGCGGAGCCAGGATTTTTGTGGAGCCTGGGCGAGATGCAACATAATATCAACGATCCGTTTGGCAGGGTTCCAACTACTAAGATGGCTCTGGCTCCTCACGTGGAGTAGATTTTTCAATGGAGCTAAAGCCGTTTTGGAGAACATTTGAAAAAAAAAAACAGCTCCAACGATAGTTTTGTAATAATTTATATTAGGTTTGTGAGGAGGAATTGAGAGAAGCCACATTTTTGTGGCTCCGGCTCCTCTATATAAAAAAAATGGCTCTAACTCCTCCGGGCTTCTTTTAAGGAGTCATTTTTTAATGCCCATTTAGCAGAGCTAATTGCACGGAGCCGTGAGAAGCCGGAGGCAGAGCCCTGTGACCTAACACATTATATAGAGAATAGTATATGTTAGCAAAATTAGATAACCAAATTATTAAGCTAATCCATCTACCACTAACTACCGCCTACATAGCTCTACAGAGTAGAAGAAAGTTTGTACTAAAAGAATTATATGACAAGCGGTAAATCCCCTTGGGGCCGCTTCCTTGATTTTATAGTCAGCATATATAGGCTATACAATAATGTCTGTGACAAGCACGTTACAGAGACCAAACAGGACACAAGTTACAGACTTGGAGTCCGACCATATTACATATGAGACTAACATAATAGCCACCTTCTAACGTGTACTGCGCCTCTACAGAGCTCCTCAGACTATGCTGTGCATAACATGTTCACTTCGTGAGCCCGGGCACCGGCCCAGGGTGGCCGGGCCTTGGCTCCACCCATGATGTATTGGTACCAATGATGACAAAATGCGCACAACAGCTTGCAACAGAGGCACAATATCAGTACAGTTGGAAAGCATTCAGATTTTTCATTCACATAGTAAGATACTTGATAAACAAGCAGAACATAGAAAGTCAAAGCAACTGATCGCATAGGAAAATCAAATCCAGAATAGCAAATAAATAAAGCCTAAGTAAAACTTGAATGCAGCATGGCATTCTACATATAAAAGCAGACCACCTTGTGTGAAGAATTACCTGCTTCTAGCACAGTAGAATTAACATAATCTTCATCACTCTCGCTAAAGTTTCCAGCCATGTATCCATTGCCATCAGAAGAGGAGCTGAAGCTACAGCATGGACCTATGTTCTTCGTCGATGGCTGAGAGATGGGAGAAATGAATCTTGAAATGTTCCTGTATTTTGAAATGGCACCAAACAATGCAGTCCCCAGCTGCCCGGATTTGGTCAGGGAGTTGTTGACCAGCGCAGAAGCAGCCGGCAGTTTGGCTTGCATTGCAGGACGGCACAGAACAGGTCCCTCCATCGCCATCGATCTGCCTACGTGGCAAAAATGGAACCAATAAATAAATATCCCTCATGGGGTACCCGGATAATGTTGCGGAGAAATAATTAAGTGACCTATAGCTGCGGAAAAAGTCAGAAAATGATTCTTACCTATGCTACAACTATCAGTTTTCAATTTCATGACACTGACGCATCAACCTACAATTTGGATTCAGATATAAGCTGGATTGCAGTCTACAACCCTTGATCCATAATTAAAAGCTGAACCTTATTTTGTATCTCAACCCCCAAAACGTAGCGTCGGATGCCTAAACACTTTTCTGCCCAATCAAGCACCTAAACCTGACAGCTTCACATATCATTGATTGTTCCCCTATACCAAGTTAATGATCCCTTGATTCGCACACTAGTTTCCAAGTCCATCAGCGCCGATGTAATGAAAAAAACACATAACTGACCAACAGATTGCACTGAACGCCCAGGAGAAGACATCCCCAGTTCGCGCCACACCATCCTCATGATTACAGTTATTCAGGAATCAACGAAACGACAGGTGCAACAACACTCATGCCCCATCCCCTTTCCGCGCACTGTCCCCAAACATTACAAAGCGAGCAGAAACCAAGCAAGAATCCAAATCGAAGCTCCGCATCGAACAATACACTCACCCGAAGGAAACCAAATCTCCTTACACGAAGAAGAGGTGCAAGCCGTCGCTGCTCCAATAAACGGGGGGAGAAAATGAGAAGAAACAAAAGAGTCCACGAAATGGGAAAAGAATCCCAAGCGAGTGAAAGGGAGCCGAAAGAATCGGATCGCGAACCGCGTCAAGAACAAGCCTGATTTGGAAAAGGCACGCACGAGGGAGGGGTCGGCTTTACCAGCAGCAATGGCCGCCGCTCCTTGGAACCGAAGAAGCAGAGCACGAGGGCAACTTGAGAGGAGGGGAGAGGAGCGACCGCAGTGGAGGATTATTGTTGGCTTGTTACGTTGTGTTTGGGTGGAAAAAGGAATAGAAAAAGGTGGGGATTACCTTTCGCTTAATCTGGAAGAGAGCAGAATCACGAAGCGGTGGGCGAACGACGGCGAGCAAATGGTTTCTCCGGCGCAAATTACTCGTTTGCCCTCCTATATTATTGCCTCGGTCTTTGCTATTTTGTTCGTATCGCGCATGAATCAACACACGCGTTATCCATACATCTATTGCCCATGAAGACCGTTTCCACTAATTTTTTTATTACTTTCATCGTAGAAAGAATATAATTCTATATCTAGTTAAAATCAAACTATCTTAAATGTAACTAAGTTTATAAAAAATATTATACTATATGTGACTCAAACAGGTGTATTATAATAATAACAACAACAAAAAAACAACAACAACAACAACAACAACAACAACAACAACAACACTACTACATAAATGATTTCGAGAGACACTGTTCAATCATTAACGGAGATGGTCATAAAATTCAACCGTCTCCTATAATATCAGAGGATTTACGCGAGAGACGTTTTATTTACGGAGACGGTCAAAATTGTCCTTCTCCTAAATTTGATTTACGGAGACGGTCAAAATTTGTCCATCTCCTAAAATTGATTTATGCTGGGCCTCTTAAAAAGCCGCCTCTGGTAATCGTGATCGAGGGCACTTGGCTCATCTTGGCCCAGCAACAGGTTCGTACTCCCTCCGTTTTTTATTAGATGTTGTATTAGTTTTGTCCTAAGTTAAACATTTGTATTTTTGACCCATGATTTCAAAAAAATTATATTGATTTATGTCATAAGATTTATGTTTTTGAATTCACTATAAGAAATACTTTCATAATATATAATTTATATGTTGTGAAACCATAAAGATTGTTTAAAATAGTTGGTCAAAGCTAGTCATGTTTGACTTTAGACAATGCTAGTGTGACATTAAAAAAACAGGAGGGTATATAAGCTAAGAAACCCCAGTTGATTCTTTCTCCTCCCACCCGGCAGACTCAGCCGCTCATCTCTTTTCCTCTGCTCTACCGAGCACACGAAACGCTAGCCAATCATACATATCTAGTATAATAAATATTAGTATACTTTATTCAAATTTAAAGAAAACTTAAATTGTTTTAATTAAGACTAATTACGTTCTTTTTTAAACGGAGTATTGTTAGCTAGTCCAAATATTTTTCACCCCTGAAGAAGCAGCGTCCAGATACTCTGTAGTAGCCACTTAAACGTCTTTTGCTTTCACAGGGCACTTACCCAAAAATAAGCTGACAAAGTACCACTCTCTATTCTAAATTATACATCGTTTTGACTTTTCTAAATACAGTTTTAGTTATACACCTATATATAATATATCTAGGTACATAATAAAATTTGTGTATCTAAAAAAGTCAAACCGACCTATACATTAGAACTGAGGCAGAACCGACTAATCTAATGTATTTTAGGAGTACTTGTCTTCCATTATACACTAAGTACTCAAAAGATGACACTAAACTACGTAGTTCCGTCGAGCATACCCCAGGAAGAACTCGAAAATCCACATTTTTTCATGAGGATCGTAAATAAGAGAATAAAGTTTACAACATTCTTAAGTCATTTCTTACATCAATTTATTACAGTATAGAATATTACCTCAATTAATTATAACAGTGAAATATAACAATGTTATCAGAGTTACAGAGGAAACAAAGATTAATTTAATAACATGTTGGAGTATTAACATAGTGAACATTTATATACAAGAGCTGCTAGCAGATGTTACATCTTTTCTTATAAAAACATTTGGTGAGGGTTATAAATAAATACTACAGTCGCAGCGTGAAAGAAATCCTCTCTGAGTCCACCAGGAGGTTTCCACACACAAGACTTAGCTCTAAGTATCCTCCGATCACCTACAACAGGGGAATAAAACCCTAAGTACTCGATTATACTCAGCAAGACTTACCTGACAGGAGAAAAATAAAAGACTCTAAGGATATGCAAGACTTATTTGGCTTGTGGGTTATTGCATCTGCGGAAGTATTACTAAACGTGCTGTCCTTATATTCAATTTTATAGCAGTCATCATTAGTTCAGTAACTAACCATTCTATGTAAGCAACTATGCTACTTTCAAGCAGGTGGTAAGCAATCAGAACCATTTTATCACCTTTCAAGTTTCAGTTCTTACTAAGGTGCTAGACCATAGCCAAGTCGGTCCAGTATCACAGAAACGGCGATTCGTGAATCAATGTATCCTAGCTGAGTATCCCGAAACACACGGCTCGCTTATACCCCAGGCACAAACAAGACCAACCTATTCCACTCGTGTCGAGAGGTATAGGTCCCCGTCTAAACTTGGACTCCAAGCCCCCACACTTGAGACCCCGTCTCAGTATGGTGCTTAGACCTCCACCTTTCTCCGCCTCCAATCAGCCAGTCCGAAAAGAACCGGAACCCACGACAAGAGCGTAATGAGCCTTCTCGCTCCTATATGTAAGTATGTGCTCGGGATAATAAGTCCGTAACCTGACTACCATCCATAGCATCGGACGGTCCTCAATCGACACAGGCGAAACAAGTGCAATCGAAGCCTCGCTCGAATGCCTAACTAAGTTTAGATCCAAAGTACCATTTCGCCCGGTCTCCAATTATCATTCATATATATTTCATGTGATGGTAATATAATAACAATAATAATATCTTTCCTATCTCTCGCGAGTGATAGGTAATCACTCGACTTCTACCGGATCCTATAGCAGAGCAATCTACATGATCCTGACATACTAGTAGGACTCATAGGATAAGGATATATATATATATATATATATATGCAAGTGGTTTCATTCAATTTCTTAAAACTTAATGCACAAGCATAAAATAAAGTGCATAATAATATGGGTTATGCACCGGGGCTTGCCTAGGTAACTATAGCCAAAGGTTAGCACTCCATCATGGTGATACGATCACCGAGGCACCATCTTTTCTGTTTTCCTAGTCAACTCCATGATCTATCGTTGTTCCTATTATAATATACGTGGATGCAACGCAGAAAACGTAATTAACCAACGGCAACTGCAACTCTAAAATACGATTACGCTTCGTAAGCTAACGAGCTAGCTTTAATGACTAACATACTAGGCTACGTATTCGCGTTGTCAAATAAGGCTTTGTCTCCGAAAAAATATTTTGGTTCTAAAATCCCAAGGTGTTTTGGCTTCTTATTGATTAAATTTATATATTCGAACTAGGGCTTATTTAGCTACCTTAGCAAATTAATTATTATGGAGCTACAAAAATTACAGTGAGCACCTCAGAATATTAGAAAGCTACTGTGAAATTTCTAGAATTAACACTAGCATTGATTAATTATAAAAATTCCTACAAGTTTATACCTTAATAATATTAAGCATCTCAATTTAATTAGATAACTCCTAAAAATACTATGAAACTATGTGAACAAGATATACTAGCTGATAGATCATAATTTTAGGAACCTAACAAAATTAGTTTCATAATTTTGGACAATTACACAAATTTATATTGTATTTACAAGTTTGGCTTAAAACTAAATTAGAAAATGCATTAGAAAAAGGAAAGGGCTGACAACAACCCCTTCAGGCCTAGCAGCCCAGCGCGCGTGTCGCGGCGGCCTCAGTTTGCAAAAGAGGACTCGTATTTTTAGACAATCAAGCGGTGCAGCGAAATACTATTACAACATATTCAAATTTTGCACTTTGGACCCTGGAATGTGTCGTCTTCACAACGGGGCGGTCCCCAGCGTCTCCGCGTGCGATGGCGCGGCTCTGGCTGGCACAACACGGCCACGCCGGCCTATCGAGGGCCAAATCGGCACGTCCATCGGCCCTACTTGGACCCACGGGACAATGCGCAATGGAGAGAGGCAGCGGAAAGTCCAACGTTGTGCTACTCAACCCTAGTCTCGACGACGGTGGATCCGTACGGTGACGCGAGCGTTCCGGCGAGCCTACGCCCTCATGGAAAGGTAGAGATAGCGGAGAAGCATCAATAGCTCACCGTGGTGTACGCTATAGTG